GGCCTCGTGGACTGAGCAACTATGGATTCTCAGCCTCTCCAGTGTGGTGCGGCCATTGTTGGACTACTCAGACTCTATCCTGTGAGCTAAGCTGATAAATCTCTATAGACATTCATTCTACTGGTTCTCTTTCTTTGGAGAACCCTGACTAATACAATATGCATATGCCCAAGCCAGACCAAAAAGCAATCAGGATGCAGTATAGGGGGTTAAAGAACCGCTGGACTACGTGTGAAGCAGTTTGGCACTCCAAGTGGCAGTTTCGATGAAGAACATTTAAGATCTTAGACTTTAGTGCCAGCTTTAATACATTTCCTAGCTATTTGACCTTGAACAAGTGACTAAGCATCACTTAGTCTCAATTTTTTCATCTATGGTCACATATGGTACCTGCTTGAGTCTTCATCCAGAAGATGAAATGAGGTGCTTTAAATGACCTGTCTTGTTGAGCTGATCCTGTTGTATCAATAGGATAGGATAACTGATCCTATTGCGTCAATAGGACAGGATCAGTGGGAGAGCAGTCACAAAGCAACTGGCCTAAAATTAACCAAGCTGCCTTTTCCATCCCATATACACAGCACATTCTTGCTTTTTGGTTAATGGACATCTTAGACAAATTCTGACCTTTTCTGGGCCCTTCAAATCTCCAGAAGGATATAATTTTACTTATTAAAGTTACCAGTACAATGACATAATCAGCACTTCAACCAAGTGTCCCCCATTCTCAGCTCAGGACTGCTGCAGGCCTGGGAGCCTGTAATGGATGGAGTGTTCCTCCATTGCTGCTTCCCTTGCTTCCTCCCTCTTCTAGTCATGGATGTCACCAGGTCTGGCTGACAGGGAGAGCTCAGGTATAAAGGCATACTGTTAAGTGGCCTCTCTTGACTTGTGCCAATGCCCCTGGGTTTGGATGACATTCAAAATCAACTCCTCTTCTAGAACATTTTTGTGATTGCTTTCAAGATTCTCTTACCGAGGACTTCCAAACTGTAGCTTGCTGGAGGCAGGCAAAACTTCCCACCCTGGCTAAAACATCTTAAGAGTGGCTCCTTTGAAATTGTCCCTTATTTCCCTAAAGAAGGACTTAGGCGGCATCTTAACTGACTTTATTATACTGCTCTCACTTATGAGTCCTTACTAGTTTAGCTCAAACCCCTGAAACACCATTTCTGCAGCCTACACCTGTGACTAACCAGGGTGGTCTCCATCTCCAGACAGAAGCAATTGCCTCATGCCATCTTCGAGTGGCAGCAATTTCCCCAGTGCCAATAGAACCTCATACAACTAGAGCTGATATAATCAACAAGACCAAAGTTTGGTGAAGACTGAGTATGCATATTTCTTGGCTCCTCCTTTTATTTTTTCTCTGTATAATCCTGAAGTTCCCATCAGTACCCTGAAGATGCAGGGCTTAGGATGTCTGTCCCCCTGTTCCTTTATAGTATGGGCATATGAGTTAAATCTTTTCTTGCTTCACCACTACATATCTCTCTGAGTGGATTCTCAAGGTAATACGTGATCACATCTCATCTCCTGGGATCCCACCAGAGCCAGTCTTCTGGCCTAGGACTTCAATAAAAGTAATTCCTCTTCTGAGTTTTAGAATTTGGTAGGTCTCTTGCCCCAGGTTCCTGACTGTCTGCCCCAGTTCTAGAGTCTTTTTCTTTTTCTTTTCTTTTTCTAGAGTCTTTTTCAAGGTGAAGCCAGCAGATTTTACCCTGTGGCTCCCACAGGCAAACACACTCAGAGATCCTAGGCCACTGCTATTCTGCTCCCAGGGCAGCCTGCTCCCTCTCTTCTCTACTCTGCCACATCAGACAGCATCACACACTAAAGTTCTCAGGCTAGTGCCTCAGACCTGGCCCCTAATCTTTGAAATGTCAGGACACACATTTCTTTGAATAGTTTCCATGAAACCACTCAAGAAATCTTCAGTCTTGGACAAGCAATCTTCAATTAAATAAATCCTCTTTCAAGTCTTTAGGCTGTTTTACACAGTACTACTGTGTAATTTGGAGTTTCTCAGGACATTCTGCCTAGGCAGCCCAGCTATTTACTTCAGGTTGTATGCTTCCTGCCAGCTGTCAAGAGTGTTCACAGCTAGGCATTTGCAGCAGTTGGGAGGTGAGGACAGGAAAATCAGATGTTCAAGGTCATCCTAAATTACATAGTGAGTCATAGGTCAATCTGAGCTAGATGAAACTCTGGCCAACAAAAAAGAGTATTTCAGAATTTAGGTCTCTATTTAAACCTTGGGACAACAGGAAAGGGGACTCATCCCCTCACCACAGGAAGGCCAGGAGACCTGGAACCTGTATTTGCCTCTCTTTGCACTCTTGGGACCTTGGGTGAGTGATGTAAGATCTTGAAGTCTAGGTTTAGAACTAAAATAATAATATCTTTCTTAATAAATTTATAGCTTTGTTGTGACAAGCAAAACACAAAACAGGCTAGCCCTTTATACACGTCTATTCCAGAAAAGTATAACTTCTAATTAATATATTTGAATTATAGTTTCATCAGAAACAGTGACTCTTTCTTTGTATCTGAAACATACTGTAAATCTGGTGGAGGAAGAACGGGGTCCAAGATCATCAACAAAACAATACAGAAAAGACAACATTATTCTGTTTTCATGACTCCTGTTAAATATAAGCCATGATCACTAAAATGCATAGAATCTAGGGGAAGAAAAGTTCATACATGTCAATTTCACATCATCCCCCACAACCCAGAAGCCACTGAGAATAGAAATAAATCCTTTTGGTCTTTTTGAGACAGTGTCTCCATGTATCCCCAGTTGGCCTGGCACTCACAATGTAGATAGATCAGGATGGCCTCGATTTCACAGAGATCCACCTGCCTCTGTCTTCCGAGTGCTGGGACTAAGACTGTGCCACCATGCCCGGCTCAAAAACAAATATTTTTAAAAGGTCAAAGACCTAAGTATGCCAAGCAATGCTCATTTAGCTCTAACTTTCTCTTGTTCTAATTACAAATGTGTGCTCAGGAAGATGAATTTGGAGGCAGTGTACCAAGGGAGCTGCCCCTTGTCTGAGCTCAACATCAGACTGAAGAGCTCCGTCAGTGTGCTGGCTAATGAATGACCACCAAGACAGCTTGATGCAAAGAGCAAGAGGATTAGGTGAAAACATATCTCTTAGATTGCCCTAAGATTTGAGCTGTAGAGCGAGAGAAAAAGAACAAGCACAGAGGAGCATAGAGATAGCAAACAGAGCTCTAGGGGGGTGGGCAGAGAGAGGGGCAGAAAGAAGTGTCTTGCTTTAGCATTCCATTGCTTCCTTGAAGTTTCCTCATTCCACTCAATTCAGTTGTAACTATAACTAAATCCCATTTCCCAGGTCATCCTTACTGTCCTCTGCTCATTACAACTAAAAGAAAGAGAGCAAACAAAATAGCCACGGTAAGCAATGTATTCCTGTTACCCTGGAGGACAGAGAATATTCAAGAATAATTTTTAATATATAATTATGGATCTTCTTAAGTCTGTCCTATTTCTGAAAGTAGCTCAGCCTTGGGGGCAGTCTTCTTACCACATTCACATTCAAGTCTGTCTTTAAAAGTTCTTCATAATCTGAAGCTATCCTCTGAGGCTAAAATGGGTCTGTGGTTTGGGGGATGTTTTGTGTGTGTGTGTGTGTGTGTGTGTGTGTGTGTGTGTGTATGATTATACACACATGTGTCTGTTCATATGCATGGAGGACAGAAGGGAGAATAGGGTGTCCTCCTCTACCATTCCTCCTAGTCCTTTGAGGCAAAGTCTCTCTCTGAACGTAGGGGTCCCCTTTTTCTGGCAAGGCTGGAAGCCGGCAAGCCCCAGTGATTCTGTTTCTACTCTCCCTGGAACCAGGATTACAAGTGTGTGCCAGATGCCCAACCTGTTATGTAGATTCTGGGATGCTCTCATCCCTTAAAATGGGCTTTTATCTACCCCAAAGCTGCTGACATTGTACAATACCATTTGGGAGATTTTTTTTTAGATTTTTCATTCCTGCCTCATGTTGATTGGACAGATATCCAAGCAGACAAGCAGTAATCCCCTCAGCGAATCCAGACAGGAATTGGTTATGCAGTGCATATTCTTTTGTAACTGGATCACACAAATGTGAGGATATTAATAGCATGTTACATTTCTTGCAATGAAGACCTTGACAAAAGTACACACACAAAAAAAAAAAAAAAAAAAAAAAAAGGGAAAAGAAACCAAAGACCTGGGCTCCAACTCACACTCTTCCACTCCCTAGCTATGTGACTTTGAATGGGTTGTTCAAATTTTAGGAGAATCTCTCCTTGCCTCTATAAAATAAAGACAACACCTACTTCACAGGGTTATTCTGGAAGACAAAGGAGGTATCTAGCAAGATGCTGCTGCTGCGTTGACAGCATCACAGTAACCTTACCGATTCCGTTCCCACGTTCCCGGTGCCACTTTCCCAGGTGGATCCTCATTCCTCCAAAGGAGGAATGTGTTAAATATTCCTCCCGTGGGTAGTAGAATTAGGAAGTGCTAGGGGCCTTTAAAAGGCAAGAGACTCCCTTCAAAAGACAGTTACTAGGCGGTTGGCAGTATGCTCTCAGAAGGAATTTGAGGGCCCAGTCCCACTTTCACTCTTATTCCTCAAAATATGGTCATTTCACCCTGACATGCACTCCATCAGTGATATGCCACCCTTACCAGATCAGCAGGGTGATTTGATTTCAGGCTTGAACCAGAACATGTAGCATGTCAGGTATTTTATTTCAGAGACAGGAAGCTAACTAATGCAGTCAGGCCACATGTTAAACACTTTGTTGTGTTTAATTGCCCCAATAACCTGAAGAAATAGATGCATTTTTGACATAAGCACATAGCAACTATGTCACCAAATTAATCCCACTAGTGAGGGAAAATGCTGAAAAATACTCCTCCCCTTATTTCTTCAAGTTTCGTTATGACAAAGATCCCAGTCTTAAAGAAATTAACACTAACTACTTACTGAAGATTCGGTTCCAAATCGCCAATATGTTGAATTACACAGTTTTTTCTCAGGACCTTCTATGTCATAATCTTTGGGAAAAGTCTCTCTGTCACGATGCCTTAAGAAAAAATTAAAAGTTTCTTAGGGATAAATCTTACTGATCGTGCATTGCATTTTTTTTTATTTAAATTACTCAATGAAAATTTACTATATTCTGTGCCATTATTTTGATTATAAATTTATCAAATTTATGATAAATAATGTATTTACCACCTCTTTTGAAGGAATGCTGAAGCTACTACCTAAAAGCAACTTGGCACATTTGATAAAACTAATAATGTCACAGTGAAAACACTACTTATCCAATACGGTAATTATTCAGTAACTCCAGTGAACTGAATCTTATTTAATAATGTAGATTAGCTACTGACAGTATAGTCCAAAACAAGATATGGTAATAGCTTAAAAAGGCAACTTACCATTTTAGAAATTCTTTCTACCATGAACTTTACTTACCTTGTTTTCAAAATGAAACAGCACATATCAATTGATAACTTGGGCTTCCTGAAACAAAGAGCTTCTGAGGAGGCTGATAGCCATAAGCTAAAAAGCTAAAGCTAAACAAACAAACAAAAAAAGCCTCATTTCTTAAAAGTATACATGAAAAAAAATTCCAAACACGTTGGCTTAAAAGGTGATTAGGACTAATTT